ATATGACAAGACATGTATACTCCTTAATAATATATGTAGTATGAAAGAGCATGTATAGCTATAAACCATGTAATCATAAGGCTATATCCGTTCTAACTTCTAACTTTGCAGTTTGTGTTCCAAAACAGAGTTGAGTGGTATATTTGTTCTCAGACAAGGCAACATTTGTACCTTCTCCCTTCTTATTATTTAGATTCTACAGCTAAGATGATAGCAATTAGCCAATTAGGACATCAAATTTTAGGATTGGGACTAAAGTAAACCTCACAATGGATCTTTGGCTTCCATGACAAAAGCATTGTATCCCATTTCCTCCAGTTTCTTTTTCTTCTCAGCGCTGGTACACGTCCCAGATACTGTCCTGAGGCAAGCACAAACAAGTTTTAATGGGAACTAAGCTAAGCCAGTAGTTGAAAAAGGTTATAGGAGAAGGAGATATTTACCATCCTTTACACTTCAAATCTGCAGCAAAGAACTCTCCAACGAACCCCATTCCCAAAATGAACATTCGACTTTGGACCTGGGTCTCCCTGGTATCGCAACTGGGATTCAGAGTGCATCTCACGTAGGGAAAAGATCGCACTGTCTTGTATGTGTAGCATATTGAACTTCGGCCTCGCCGGAGAAGAGGCAACGACGATGGGCGCGATAAAGAGCAGAAATCCATCACGTAAGAAGCATCTGGAATAAGGTGCATATGTGGCCAGACATATAAATATCAGAGAAAACTGTCAGAGAAAAGTGTTTGAACTTTCATAAAAAAGTCAATTAAGTCTTTCAATAAAGACTCTGTCCGGTCATTGCGATTTGGGGCGGTTCCCGTTGGAATTTTTTGATGAAATTTTTTTAGCATCTTATTCATCAATTCTAGTTTACTCATACCAAATTTCAGCTAAAAATTTAATCGGGAGCGCATTCAAATTAATTCGAGAACGCAAAAATGCGCAATTATCTTCAAGAATTAATTTGAATGTGTTCCCGATTGAATTGTTAGCTGAAATTTGGTATGAGTAAACTAGATTTGGTGAATAAGATGCTCAAAAAATTTCATCAAAAAATTCCACCGGGAACTGCCCCAAATCGTGACGGCCGGACAGAACCTCCTATAGAAGGACTTAATTGACCTTTTTATGAAAGTTCGAGGACCTATTTGACAGTTTTCCCTAAATATTAATATCAACAAATAAATTATTTATCACCTTATTTGATTGATTTTATACTAGCATGTTTTTCCCTGCTGTTGGGCCGCGGGTATGCGGTGCCAGCAATTGTCCAGCCTGCCGGTGCAATCGAACCGCGTGGTGCTTCGCATGTGCTATAAATGGGGAGGAGCGTGCTACACTATCAGTGCAACGACCCACAATTGGTATCAGAGCCAAGGTTACGGGTTCGACCCCTACTACCCAATCCCTACTAGTTCAACTCCTATTATCGTAGACCCCTACTAGCTTAACCCCTACTACTCAATCCCTACTAGTTCAACCCCTAATATTTTGAACCCCTACTAACTCAATCCCTACTAGTTCAACCCCTACTATTTTGAATCCCTACTAGCTTACCCCCACTAACCCAATCCCGACTAATTCGACCCCTACTATTTTGAACCCCCACTAAACTAATCCCTACTAGTTTAACCCCTACTATTTTGAATCCCTACTAACTCAATCCCTACTAATTAAACCCCTACTATCGTGAACCCCTACTAGCTTAACCCCTACTAGTTTAGCCCCTACTAGTTCAACCCCTACTATTTTGAATCCCTACTGTTTCAACCCCTACTATTTTGAACCCCTACTAACATAATCCCTACAACCCTACTATTTTGAACCCCTACTAGCTTAACCCCTACTATTTTGAACCCCTACTAACCCCACCCCTACTAGTTCAAACCCTATTATCGTGAACCCCTACTAGCTTAACCCCTACTACCCAATCCCTACTAGTTCAACTCCTACTATTTTGAACCCCTACTAACTCAATCCATACTAGTCAACCCCTACTATTTTGAACTCCTACTAGCTTAACCCCTACTACCCAATCCCTACTAGTTCAACCCCAACTATTTTGAACCCCTACTAACCCCACCCCTACTATTTTGAACTCCTACTAGCTTAACCCCTACTACCCAATCCCTACTAGTTCAACCCCTACTATCGTGAACCCCTACTAGCTTAACCCCTACTACCCAATCCCTACTAGTTCAACCCCTACTATTTTGAACCCCTACTAACCCCACCCCTACTAGTTCAACCCCTACTATCTTGAACCCCTACTAGCTTAACCCCTACTACCCAATCCCTACTAGTTCAACCCTGACTATTTTGAACCCCTACTAACCCCACCCCTACTAGTCAACCCCTACTATTTTGAACTCCTACTAGCTTAACCCCTACTACCCAATCCCTACTAGTTCAATCCCTACTATTTTGAACCCCTACTAACCCCACCCCTACTAGTTCAACCCCTACTATCGTGAACCCCTACTAGCTTAACCCCTACTACCCAATCCCTACTAGTTCAACTCCTATTATTTTGAACCCCTACTAACCCAATCCCTACTAGTTCACCCCTACTATTTTGAACTCCTACTAGCTTAACCCCTACTACCCAATCCCTACTAGTTCAACCCTGACTATTTTGAACCTCTACTAACCCAATCCCTACTTGTTCAACCCCTACTACCCAATCCCTACTAGTTCATCCCTACTACCCAATCCCTGTTAGTTCAACCTCTACTATTTTGAATCCCTACTAGCCCAATCCGTACTAGTTCAACCCCTACTATTTGTGAACCCCTACTAGTTCAGCCAATCCCTACAATCATCAACCCGTACTATTTTGAACCCCTACTAGCTTAACCCCTACTAACCCAATCCGTACTACTTCAACCCCTACTATTTTGAACTCCTACTAACCCAATCCCTACTAGTTCAACCCTACTATTTTGAACCCATATTAGCTTAACCCCTACTACCCAATTCCTACTAGTTCAACCCCTACTATTTTGAACCCCTACTAACCCAATCCCTACTAGTTCAACCCCTATTATTGTGGACCCCTACTAGCTTACCCTTACTACTCAATCCCTACTAGTTCAACCCTTACTATTTTGAACCTCTACTAACGCAATCTCTACTAGTTCAACCCCTACTATTTTGAACTCCTACTAGCTTAGCCCTACTAACCCAATCCCTACTAATTCGACCCCTACTATTTTGAACCCCTACTAAAAGAACAATGATATATTTCACGTCCGGGCTTTAACCGGTCCAACCCGAACCCGAACCGAACCCGTGCTACCAATAACTCGACTCGGATTGAATATAATGGGCTTTGTTCCGGTCTCTAATTTTCATAACTCGAGACATTCCGGGTAATTTCCGGGTTTAGCAAAAACTCGACCCAGACCAGACCGATCCCACCCCTACAATTCGGTTTACGATGCTTGACTGACGATAAAGCAAGCAGATCCCTGGCCATACTCAAATTTGTTTTAGAAGGAAAAAAGTTACATATTCAGAAACTACAGTAAAAACTTTACAAAGTCGCAAAAACCAGAATCAAATTTGATAAAAATTTGACATATTCCCTCTGTCCCGGTGGACTTTGTCAAATGCAAAGTAAGTGAGAAATAAGAATAGTAAAAAATGTGTGGTTAAAATTTGTGCAGAGGAGAGAGAAATGTGAAGAACCACAAATTAGTTGCTTTAATAGGAAAGTGACAAAGTTTTTTTGGACAACAAAAAAAGGAAAGTTGGCAAAATTGGAGAGAATGATTTTGGAGGGTTTTTGTAAGTCTCCAAAAACGGTAATAAACAAAATGATAACTTAAGCTCAATTTAAAATGAATATCAATTCAATTATTTGAATTTATCGTATCTCAAAGTGATTTTAATTATAATTCTTTCAAATATTCTCATCTTCCAAATTTATTATTCTCACATATGAAGAAGAGTTTCTCGACTTTCATCTCCTTTTCCCCTCCAACGTACCTTCAAAATCCCCCGCCCTCCTAACTCTCAAACATACCCTTAGACACTTACGACTTCAGTTTTACCCTAGGTAGCACGGAAACTCTTGGGAAAGGGTACGTTTCCCGTTTCGGAAACTCTCGGAAACTTTTTGGAAACTCTCCAAATAAGTCTTTTTTGAGCAAAAGTTGATGTTTCCCGTTTCCCGTTTCCTTATGATTTTCGCGTTTTCGTGCAATGGGTAAAACTTTTACCCATTGCATGGGCTGATGGACCTGCCGAGCGTTACGTTGTGGTCCGTTGCACGTTTCACCACCAAACAGATTTTAGTAACGTGTGTCCAATACAGATAGTGTTTAGTTCATTTATTACAACTATAAATGCCCATATGAAATGCTGTAAAAGGTGGTTCAAAACTTTTAATACATACTTGTCTCTAGCCTATCAATTTCCTTCACATAAAAGTTATCCATCATATTCTTATACCTTTCCTTCTCAGCAAATCATGCAACTTGGTCGATGATATGTTTCTTTTTTTGCAAGGGATGATAAGTTTGTATTGGCACAAATAAATAAAATAAGTCAACCAACCACACTCTCATCCCAGTAAATAACAATGAAATAGCGACTCCACAATAACAAAGAACCGAACGGGCAGGGACTCCACTTCCCTATCAGATCTATCCTAGTCCTAGAGATAGACACCATGGACTGACAAGACCAATACAAATCAGTTCTAGTTTTGGAATCGCTCCATATTGCTTTTGCTTAAAGTAATTCTGGTTTGGAATACTCCCTTTAGATAGTAAGTGAATCAACATGAAAACATTACTAGCTACGGTAAAACGTCTCATCGACCCAGATTTGGCATTTCCAAAAGCTGGCTGGTGAAAGGTTAGCATATATGCAGCAATAAGGATTCGAACGGGATGTGATGCATTCGGTTGGATTATCAGAGCCCGAGCCAAGTATGTGGAGCAAATTGTGGACGGTTCCATGTGTTGTTTTAAGGGAGTTAGAGTTAGACCGTTTGTTGTGCATGCATTTTATATTACATTCACTCAAACAATCACCAAATTCACTATAGTAGATTCACTCCAATGGGAGCATATAAAAATACACCATCCCTTTCAATCAAGTACATATTATGTTACATAAATTTAAATACATATCGCCAATAAGCAATCAACATGCAAGCAATAAAATGATGATCATACCTACAATTCTGTCACCTGTTAGACCAACCCTTAATTAAGGAGAGACTAACACCACCCACCCGCGCCTCCACCAGTGTGGGTTTCTCAGTTTTCAGAAACTACTGAAAGTAATGCATCTGATGCAGCAGGAGCAGAGCTGGCCTCCATACTTTGGGAATCCGTAAAGGGTCTGATGAAAGTCCTGCGCCACCACACTTCAAACGCTCTCTGAAGGTTGGGGCAATTATCCCCCGCCTTGAGAAACCAATCCAACCAAACAAGCAAAACCCTCTGCTGCTCCTCCAGAGGAAGAGTCAAGATCGTCCTCCCGATCCCTTCCTCCACCACCTTTCGATCAAACGACCTGCAGGACCCATGCTGCAGCCACCTGTAGTCCTTCATCAATGGCTCCAACCACGTCTCCAACAAACGCTGTCTGGTCTCTTTACACGGCAGAACCTCACCTCTTCCTATCCCAACAAACACCCTCCCCGTGATAAAGCTCACATGGTGACGGACCACAGTGGGGAGCTTTGCATGCAATGAAGCCATCTCATCCTGGCTGGCCCACATTTCCGTAAAACCATCCCCCGATTGCCTGTCAATCAACATTTCAAACATCCACGTGAGGTTATCAGCGTGTAGGGCGATCTTCTTACCATCCGGTTCGTCTTCTTCTTGTCTGAACAGATCCAGTAACAAGCCCAAACAGCTTCTGCATGAACTGTAAAGAATCTCATTGGGAAGAGTGTCGTTGTTTTCTCTGAGGAGTTTCAGGACTATGGATTTCATCTCACGCCGCCCTATTTCCACATCACTGTTGAGCACCAACGTGAGGATGTGAGCAAGCGTGTCTTTGGGAGGTTTTGAGATTTCGGGCGATACCCGTTTCAAGACCGGGTTCACTCCCATTCCTTCTCCTCGGAGGCGTACGACTGAAGCCACCACTTTTTGTTCTTCTTCTTCGCCAACCCAAGGGACGGCTTCCAAGTATTTTAGGCACGATTGCATGCAGGTTCTGAAGCCAATATGTTCTGCGACCTACATACACATGGCAGTTGGTATCAAATTAAGCTAAAGTCACTCCAAAAGGATCATCAAGAAGTGAGGTTTACGTCACATTTAAATTTTGGATATAGAGCTGATAAACACTCAATGTTAAACACTTCACAATATTTAAATTATGTTTGCGAACATGTATACTAAAGGATACCATATTGTAATGACATAGCATCAAAGTGATAAAACTCTTATGTTTGCATCGAAGTGATAAAACTCTTATGTTTGAACCAAAGTGATAAATCTCCCAACCACCATTGTTTAAAAGGAGGGAATGTCCTGATTCTAACGGCCTGTTTTGAAGTTTATTGCATCACATGCTCTCTCTTTTACTAACCAATCCATGGCTTGTTGAAACTAACCAAACATTGGAAAATATCCAATAAAGAGACTGCGGCTTCTAGGTGCTAATTACAACCGCATAAGTGATTGTTAGCACAAAGTAATGAAGAGAAACAAGTGCAGCATTCAAATATATTACCTTGAGAATCCGCAAAACACGTGAAACGCTTTGTTTGATCAGACGCTGCCTCAAATCACTGCAATACATCAGTCCCACAGTTTCAACATATATCTCAACATCATCACAATCATCAACCTCAATAACACACGGGTGAACTGGTTCTTGTCCAGACATTATTTTACTGGCAAAGAACATACTATTCTCTGCAAGAATATCTCTATGCACATTCAACTTTACAGCAAGCCCTTGTTTCCCTATCAAAACCACTCTAAGGTCACTGCTTCCTGATTCACCAAACTCAATAGACACTTTCTTGGGAACATTCATGATCTTCGGATGAGGGGTCAGATCCGTTTCAACGGGCACACTGACATTTGGTTCCTCTGAAACAACACTCGGCCTATGTTGTGGAATGGGTTTTTTCTCGGGTGTGGGTGTTTGTGTCTTCTGAGATGGTTTGAGCTTGTTTAGACTGTTGTTTGGCTTGGAAGCCTTTTGAAACACAACTGGTGAGGGACAACACCAGAAACCCTCTGGGGTGACTGCAATTGGAACATTCTTGAATTTTGTTTGACCTTGTTGCTCTACCTTTGTAACTCTAATTTCAGCCATTATTGAACACCAGAAAACTCTCAAAGGAAAACTAATTCCATTTTCTAGGAGGACCAACAGTTACTCTTTAATCATTCAATTAGCATTGGAAGTATCCTGTCATCAGAAGAAGTAAAAATTCAATGAACCCAGAGAAACGGAAAGGGAAAATTCCAAATCTTGAAAGTGCAGACTCAGTTACTGCTACAGCTGCTAACAAATAGTAGTCCTAACGGGCACAGAGTATTAAATAAGCATAAAAGTGGAGTCTTTAAAGAAACAATAACAACAATTAGCTAAAACTGAAAAGAAAAATACAGCACTTACCAGAAGCAGCGAGCTATGGCTGAAAGAAGCTCCAAGTTCGTTCATTTATTAGGCTATATCAATTATTGGAGGGAGGTTTGGTGCCAAGCATGAAGGGAACCACCAAAAGATAGAGAGAGGTTTTATAAAGTGGAAGGATGGATGGGATTCTCACTGTTATACATTTGTGGGAATAAACTAAGAAGAAAGAACACTCAAGTAATAATACGGAGTATAAATGAAGACAGAAAAAAGGAACATGCACTCATAGTGGGAGTGATTGCTCATATGGGCTGTACCTGTAACTTTACACTGTGTGTATATGTTTGTTTTGATGATGATAATGTTTTTTTTGCGGTTCTAATGATTTTGTTTGGATAAATTTTCCTTGCGCCCCCACCCCCACTGTACCCTCCTATCTCAAATCTCAAACACAGGAACCAGCAATATGGAGTAAATTACATTGAGCCAATGCTTGTGTGTAGTAAAGTATGAGAAAGAAAAACGAAGCTGAAGATTATAAGATAAAATTATTGGAATCCTTTGGATTTGGGTTCTCTTTCTAGTTTTAGAAGATTAAAAACCAGATTACTCCGCATTATTTTTCAGCTTAGAAAGCAAAACGGTTTTACTAAACTCAACTCCATCTCCAGACCGACCACACTCCAGTGTCCACCTTTTCATAAAACTACTGGCAGTACCCCTGATAGAGTATTAATTCTAGAGAGAAGTGAGAGCTAGAGAGAAAGTGAGTAATTATATTTCTCAACCCCTTATAACTAGCCCCAAGGGGTCTATTTATAGGCAAAAATGTGGATTTGGCTCCTAGCCATGGGCTTAGGAGGCTCATTACAATAATCATGCCTTCTTTGGGCGAAATAGGGCCACTAATGGGCTGCGTACAATACTTAGTAAATAAAGTAGAGAGATGTATTCTGCCAGGACGAAGTCTGACCGATGCGGTGCCTTCTGGCCGATGCGGTCCCATGGCCGATGCGGTCCATGGGCCGACGCGGCCCCGGAAGTCCAGGCCCGTTTCCTGGGCCGGTTTGATTCCTGGCCGATGCGGACCCACTGGCCGAAGGGGGCCACGTGGGTGTTCTTCTGGTCATCGTTGACTTGAGTATGTGGGCCATGGGGTCCAGGCCCATATACTCTATCAACCCCAATATCTGTATAAATATTTATAATCTCTAAAAAAAATATGTGCATATTACTCCCTTTCTTCTTATTTATCTCCACCTTTCCACCTTTTTATGCTTATTTAGAGCTAGCACGAAAATCGTTTGATTTGACTAATTCTGCTGACATTTATGAAGTTCTGGCTAAAGTGACTGCATTGGCTGATTATGCTGATTTAATAAAAACTATTTTTAAAATATATTACTCCCTCCGTCCCTTTTTAGTTTGCTAAACACAAATTTTCAAGTCAAAATTGTTCAACTTTGACTGATTATATTTTATACACGGTAATATTGATAATACGAAAATTATATGCAAATGTTCTTTGTTGAAAATAATATCATAAAAGTATAAATTTATTAACTTTTACATAAATATATTAGTTAAAATAATGTGTCTAAGTTTATCATCTTTGACTGGAAAAGTCAAAGTTAGCAAACTAAAAGGGGACGGAGGTAGTAGTATTTTATTGATAAAATAAAGAAAAAATTATATGTAAAAATAGCTAAAATGGTCATCTATAGTAACTTTAGCCAATACAGACACAAAAGTAACTTCAACCTTACTTTTTCTACTTATTACACAACTCAGTGCGCGAAAGCAAAAATTACGTGTTTGGTGAAAAAGTTGGTTGATAAGCCTGATAAGCCGAAAAACAGTGGTTCCAAACGGCCTCTTAATACTCTATGCTTATTTTAGATTTGGATCAAATAAAAGGAAACCTTAATGTGTAAAATAAAAATTATTTTTATGCATTTGATTTGAGATGTGATGTGTATAAAAGAGCAAAAAGTGCAATAGATAGAATAAAAAATGTGGTGACATTTTCATAAATAATTGAATATATTTAAGATCGTGAAAAAGTGTAGTATTGAAATCTAAAAGAGTAACGTCGCGAAATAAAAGTATAAATTTCACATTTTTCATTTAAACAATATTCCGTATTTTATTTGAACTGTACAACATATGTGTGTGTCAGTGTGTGTAATAGAGCCTTTCAATGTTTAAAACAGAAAAACAAAAGTTGATCACAATCTATATCTATATCTATACTAGCTTTCTATACGCGCAAAGCGCGAAATCTAATGCCCAAAATGAAAATTGTAGTCCTCACATCCATTTTATTAGTCCATTAAAATATTAGTCCTCGCCTAATGAAGCACATATGTTTTGTTGGGTATTATTTCTGATTGTGCATTCATTACCTAATTGTCGTGTATATCATACTACTTCCATCTAAAATTGTTTTGTAAAATCAACATTTTTTTCTGAATCAATGTTAAGTTAAATCTCCTTATAGATAATTAATTCAACTTTAATAATTAAAATTTAAATATCGAGAAACTATATTAAAATCTATGTAAAGTTGCAAAATCAAAATTAAAATTTAATTAAGAATTAATGATATCCTAATGAAGTGAATAAAATGAACCTGTTTGACTCAAAAAAAATCAATTTTGAGATACAATTTGGGATGGAGGGACTAACTCATAGGTTAACTCAGTAAAGCTAATTCAAAATTCATAGGTCGACTTCGTGAAGGTTAGTCCTCCATCCCAAATTGAGTAATAAAAGGGTAATTTGGGATGAACTTGGAAGGAGTTATAAATCAGTAAAGCTAATTCAAAATCGGCCATAATGGACCATATGTTACACTCACCATACCTTTGTACACATAGACCAATCAAAATGATGCAGTTGAATTATTTAAATCTAAATTAAAAATGATTTAATGAGTTGGACCAATCATGTAAATGGCAGGTACAGTACCCCATTTTTTAAATGGGTACCGAAGTTGTCACCAAAATATTATCAATTACAGAGTATAAAAGCACTATAATCCTAAGGGAAAATTATCGAAATAGGACTAAAAAACTTTGAAAATTTCAAAATAAGACTGTCATGTTTTTTATTCCCAAACTAGGAGCAATTACTGTCATGTTTGGGGTTTAATGCACCAAACCCCCCTGTGATTTGGAAATTCGGCGCATTAGCCCCTTGTGATTTAAAAAATGCGTCAAATCCCCCTGTGTTTTAATTAATCATGCGCCAAATCCCTTATGTGAACAAATTCAATTGTCAAATAAAAGAAAAATGATTAACATTTTTGTATGATTCAGAGATTTTGACATATTTATTTGCATATTCAATCAAAATATTAGGAAAAGTGATTTTCAAATCGTTAAATTTATTCATAAAGGGGGTTCTGTGCATGATTAATTAAAACACAGGGGGGTTTGACGCATTTTTTAAATCACATGGGGCTAATGCGCCGAATTTCCAAATCACAGGGGGGTTTGGTGCATTAAACCCGTCATGTTTGGGAAATACTGCCATGTTTGAAGTCTGGTACTGCCAAAACATGACAGTAATTAATCCTATTTTGGAAATAAAAACATGGTAGTCCTATTTTGGAATTTTCAAACATTTTTAGTCCTATTTCGGGTAATATCCCTAATCCTAAACAAAAGTACTACGTATATGAATGACGTGCGTGTATAAAACTGTAATAACGGAGTAAGGGTATTTATGTTACCAATAAATGAAGTACAAGATTTTATTAAAACTGTACAAGATCTAATGCACATAAAAGATGGACACAATATAAGGGTACTAACCCATATTCATATTTATAGGTGTTTTAGATTAGATATATATATTAAACCAACTAAGTGAATCTCCCGCCTAAGATTTTAGGGTATTTGAGTAAATTCACCTCAATCACTTAACCCTCCATCATCTCCCCGTATCATCCCCAACTCGAATACGCTTCTCTCATCAGTTGAAACTCCCGAGTTCTTTTCTCGCCGCATTTCCACACCTTCTGCCTATCCGTTTAAAGTTCCCATCTTCTTCGGCCGCAAAATCACGTCAGTTTGCCCGCACCCGTCGACCCCTACCGCAGTGAAGAAGATTTGGCGAATGAGAAGAAATTCTGGGCAATTAAATCATCATCAAGAGCTCCTTCACACCACTTCGATTTCAATTTTCAATTTCTGATTCAGGTGTTTTTTCATTCCTCTAAACATGATAGTTTTTCTATGATTTTTTCCTGTCCTTGAATTGAATTCAAAATCTAGGTTATTCTTCGTTCTATCCTACTTAGAGTTGTTAATGTTCTAACCAAAGGGATTTCTTCCCCAAATTTGGATTCCAATGGGAAAAATAAGATGCTTGATAATGACAAGTTAGGGTTTTAGTTCCTATTTTACTCACAATTATTTCCTCTTTGCCTATTTTACTTGCTTAGTCCAAACTTATGCTTTGTTTCTATTGTTTGCCGGTCTTAAAACTGTTCTCATTTTGTACGTTGAATTTGCCATTATATTTTTGTACCTGAATCACTTTTGAAGCCACATTGGTACTTTTTTCCCAAAAACTGAGATGGGTAGGGATCATAAAAGTGTAAAAGACTAAATAGCAATTTAGCATATATATGACATTTTCTCATGGCCTATTTTACTTACTTTTTTCTCATTTAGTATGTTAGATCCACCTTCTTCGGACTACTCGGTATCAAATTATTTACAACAAATGAATGATTACAATCTGGAATTTCTTCTTTGCTTAATTTACTTGCTTAGTTTAAATATGCTGTTTTGTTTCTACTGATTGCAAGTTTGGAACACATTAAACATTTATTATGTAACATTTTCCGTATCATTTTTGCCTCAATCACTTTTGAGGCAAAAATGGTATTTCTCTTTGTCTAATTTACTTGCTTTCATCTCAGGTATGTATGTTAAATCTCACTTATTCATACTATCCATTATAAGAGCATTTAAAATAAATGACTATTTAGAATTAGAATTAGAATCAGTCCATTTTTGGAGAACTAATAGAGCCATTTTTCATTGTTATATCTTTTTTGCTGCATTTGCAGAGGAGATGATACGAGGGAGATCTACCAGAAATGTGATAAGGTTTTACTTCTTTTTTTTACTTCTTGGTGACCTTAATATGCTTAATTTCTTTGACTTGCAGACTTCATTTTGCCTACTACTTTGAGTAGTAATGTATACCACATATGTTTGTTATTTTTGAGATATCACTCTATTCCACTTCACACCTCATTTTCTTTTTACATATATCTCTGCACACAGAGAATTTCATATCCATACAAGACTTAGAAAATCTCATTCTTAATTTTTAATGCTATGAAAAAAGAAAAAATATTTAATGCTATGAAAAAAAGAAAAAAATTTAATGCT